TTCTTCTTCTTCTTCTTCTTCTTCTTCTTCTTCTTCTTCTTCTTCTTCTTCTTCTTCTTCTTCTTTAGGACAGTCTAGAAGATCCACGGAACATGCCATCTATCAGTACCCGGATGCCCTGGAAGAGCAGAAAGGGTAATAATGAAAGAGAAGTGTTCTAAGCGACAACTCTGTGTGGGCTACCAAGCATAATCTTTTCATTTTTTTATTTAGTTCTTGTGTGTCTTGTCTGCACGTATGTGTGCACAACTCTTGTATGCCTGACGCTCTAGCAGGCCAGAAAAAGGTACCAGTGTCCTCGAACTGGAGGAACATGCAGTTGTGAGCCCCGTGTGGTGCTGGGAACCAAACCCAGGTTCTCTGCAAGAGCAGTCAGAGCCCTCAACTGCTGAGCTACCTGTCCAGCCCCTACACGCAGTCTACTCCTCACAGCAACACGCTTTACCTGGCACCTGCTAAGCTAAAGCACTGCTCCAAAACCACCACAGACCTGCTCTGCTACGTTAAACAATTTTCATCTTCAAGGGATATTTTTAAACAAGGAAGCAAAAATCTCTTTCAAAGTAGTTTTTTTTTTTTTACTTTCTAGCACAATGCAAAAGTTAATCTTATCATTTATTTTATTTCAGATCTCCAGATAATCGATAAAATGAAACAAGTGGCTTGACATTAAAGCAAGAAGAAATTTAGCATATCACCTTAGGCTTCCTTAGATAGAGCATGTAACAAGTGATGTGGACTTACAGGAAAAGATTGTGACTGTTTTTATTGACTTTTGTGCTGCAGTGACTATGGCAAGTTTATGAAGATGAAGACCATCTCAAATGATTAGAAAGATCAACAGTTACTCATAAAATAAACTGTCTCCTCCTACCCACTGCTTCACAAGAAGTTGTGGCAACCAAGAGTTTTAATTTTAATTGTTTCTGATTGCCAAATACTTAAAGTTAAAGAAGCCTTTTTGTGCTGAATAAATACATGATAGTCTTTGCTAAAACTCCAGGGAAAGCTCCCAGCACACACGAAGGGCCACAAGAAGTCTGTGTGCTTGTATTGCTGAGTGTTGCTCAGCGTACTTTGTGTAGAAACTTAAACTTACGGCTAACAGGACACAGCCTAACATATCCATGTACATTTGAGACAGGTGGAGTAATTCTTTGGTCTGAGGAACCTTGGGTGGTGTTCTTACAGCTGAAAGGATGTAGCTGAAATGGTTGCCTCTAAAACTCTTTTAATCCCCCGGGTGAATCCATAAAGGTAGTACATGACTAAGAATAAAGACGTTATTCCCTTTCAACACTGTCAGGTACACTCTGGTTCGGCTTCCTTCACTGATTTGCAGTTGCAGAGCAACAATCCTAGAACAATGCAGTGTTCAGAAAGTGTTCAGGCGAGCAGAGGTGCTGCTCCTGCACAGGACAGGGACCGACTCAACAACGCCGTGATGATTTGGTGCCCACACTAAAATGCTTACAGAAGGTGTTCTCCCCCTAAAATCAGAACGTAGCTCCCTCTTTTTAAGCCTGCCTAGACTTCAGGCAGATAGGAGCTATAGGGTACTGAGATGGGACCTTGCTTCTCCCCTGCTAGGGAGGGAAGAAGTGTTGAGGACATAGTTAATAATCACTGGCAGAGCACTTCCTGAGAGAGCAGGTCTTTTATTTCCAAAAATGTGCTACTTGCTCCTACTAACATGGGTCGCTGGCCAGGAACTGACAGACAGACTGGTAAACCGGAAAAAAAACTAAATTGATATTAAAATTTTAACATGTGAGGAAGAAGGCACCTGAAGTGATGGGAACCGAGCGTACTGGCTCCCGCCTTTAAGCCCAGCACTCAGGAAGGAGAAGAAGAATCTCTGAGTTCAAGATCGACGTAGACTCTACGTCGTAGAGAGTTCCAGCGAGGGCTACATAGTAAGACCTTGTCTAAAGAGGGAAAACGTGGCCTACCTGGTAATGGAAGTGCAGAATCCCCTGGCTATCTGCATAAGAACTATAGAATAACAGCTAAGGCCTATGTTTATCTACATGAGAACTATAGAACAACAGCTGAACGGAGAAAAACCCCCTTCTAGTCACAGATTGAGAAACAGCTTTTTTTTACATTTTTTACTCATTCTCTCATATTCCAACTGAAGTTTCCCCTTCCTCCTCTCCTCCCAATCTGCTCCAAACCCTATCCATTCCTCCTCTCTCCTCCTCCTTTTCCCTTCAGAAAAAAAGCAGGCCCTTCAGGGATAGGCACGACCGCTTGCAATAAGACTGGCCCCACCTTTCATATTAATGCTGGATGAGGCACCCCAGTGGGAGGAAAGGGTCCCCAAAAGCAGGCAGAAGAGTCAGCGACAGCCCCTGTTTCCACTGTTAGGAGCCCCACAAGACCAAGCTTGCACCACTGTAACAGATATACAGAGGACCTAGGTCAGACACATCTGGGCTCCTGATTATTGGTTCAGTCTTCGTGAGTCCCTATGAGCCCAGGCAAGAAACATCTTTCTAAAACAAATAAGATAAAAAAGCCATGGCCAGGCATGGGATTAACAGCGACAACAAACATGAGTGCATTAAGAAAGTTTATTAAGTAGAGCTGTTTTCCCAGAACTCGGGAAGCACAGGCAAGAAGATGGCTACAAGTTCAAAGTCATTCTGCTCTACACAGGCCAGCCTGGGCTCCATGGTGTGAGACATAAACATCATAAATAATTTTAGTAAAATAAAATTAACCTCCAACAGCAGAGTGAGAGACCAGGTTACCACAACAAAAAGAGAATGTGTATAAAAACACAAACACTTTAGAATATTGTAATTTAATAAAGAGAAAGGACAAATGACAAACAAGCAATAAAATCTAATGGAAAAAGGTAACCCATAGAGGAGATTCCGTGAAGAAAAATAGAAGTGCTAAAACATACAGAAATCCAGCCATCTGTGTGTGGCTGTCGAGATGGGACAGGACCATCAGGGGAGGACAATATGGCAGGTCCTTGACAGGGTGTGTGTGTGTGTGTAATTGTCATAGGATACAAAAATTCCACATCTATGCATTCAAAAGAATTAAAAATAAAGGCAAGAGAAAGAAAAAAAGAAAGGGGAGAAAAGAGAAAATGGAGGGTGAGCAAAAGGGAAAGGAGAGAGAAAAGAGAGAAGGAGAAAGTGGGAAAGGAAGGAAAGGAGAAGAATGAAAAGGAAAACAATGCAAAAAGGATAAAATGAAAAACACTCAAGACACACAGTGATAAAAATCATCTGCAGCACCCACAAGATAAATGACTAGAATTGTAAATATATGAAGAAACTGTATAACCAATAATAAAGAAAAAAAAATGGAATCTAACAAATAAGGGAAAACTTGTGGCATTTCAGCACAGAAAATACCCCTACGGCAAATAAGCCTAAGAAAATCTCTGCAGCATCTCTGTTAGTCACTGAGAAAATGCCCAGTCAGACAATAATGGGACATCACTACAGATGGCTAAAATTAAACAGTTAATGGTACCAAGTGCTGACAAGGACGCATGGCGAACGGGACTGCTCAGGGAGCAGCGCGTCTGAGAGCAGAATGGCACCACTTTGTTTGTGAGTTCATCAGTGGTTCTTTACAACCTAAGCTATGTCTGTGGCTCAGCAAGCCCCACTCACGATATTTCCACAGAAGGATTGAAAACATACCTCTACATTTGTAACATTCTATTCATAATAACTAAAACATGGAACTAACCCAACTGTCCATGACAGTGAATGGGCAATCAAATTGGTGCACATTCATAAAATAAAATAAAACTAAAACAACAACAAAATGAAAGAACCCACTAGTGAACAAAATGACAAAATGAATATGTAAAAGAAAACAATCGCGCTTTTATTTCTAAGCCTTCTAGAAAAGATAAACATGTAACATAAATCTGTGAGACCTGTGGCTACCAGAGTACGGGTGAGGATGGGACTGGCTGGTGGTTGTCCAAGCTGGACGTTTGTCAAGTCTAATTGAATTGTACACAGATCGAGGGAGATGTCTTTTACTGTGCAAATTATAATAAAGTCAATAAACCTGACTCTAAACTAAAACAAAAATGAGTGTGTGACTACAGGATAGGTTCAGCTCAGTCACATTGATACCAAATATAGTTTTGGTGTTTGTGATTACTTATAAATGTTTACATATATTAAGAAAAAAAAGATTCTCTGGGCCAGCAAGAGGGCGTACTCTAAAAGCATTTGCTGTACAAAGCGGAGGACCTGAGTTTGATCCCTGGATCCCAGGGTGGGAGGAGAGAACCTACAGCCAAATGTTGTCCTCTGGCCTTCACACGCATGGGCTGTGGCATGTGCATACATACCTGTAACTGACATGCACACACAGTGATGATGATGATGATGAATAATTAAATGGCAGCTTTTAAATGCTTTTTCTTGACTTTTAAGACAGGATCTTGCCATGTACTCTGGCTGGCCTGGGACCTATTATGTGAACCAGGATGGCTTCAGCCTCTCTGAGATTCTTCTGCTTCTGCCTCCTGAGTGCTGAGGCGAAAGCATGTGCCACCGTGATTATCCTAAAAGAGATTTTTAATGACCCAACTATGAACGTTGCTCATCTCTGGACATTTATTTCCATGATATAATAGTATTTTTAATTATTTTTTGGATGCATGTCTATTGTGCATATATTTTTTTAAATAATACACACAAAACTAATAAAGAAAAAGGATTTTACTTTGTTGTAAAGTTTGGTGGTTTTTTTGTTTTGTTTTGTTTTGTTTTGTTTTGTTTTTTTAACTAATCAACATTGCAAATACCTCACTCCATTTTCCTGGTTTAAAAAGCAAAATGAAGGCTAGCAGAATGGCTCAGCTGGCCATTCAACTTGAATTCAGTTTCTGGAACATAAACAGGCATGGTGTTGCGTGCTTGTATTCCCAGCACTGGAGAGGCTGAGACAGAAGATCGCTGGGGCCAGAAGGTCTAGCCTAATTAGTGAGCCCCAGGCCAATGAGAGACCCTGCCTCAAAGAAGGTGGATGGCATGGGTCAGAAAGACACCCAATAGCACCACAGGCCAAGGTTAAACGTTTATTATATAGGCTTTTGGGGAACACTTCAAATCCAAACCAAGGCAGGACATATATCAAACTGAAAAGGATGGATTTGGTTTCAGGATTTCAGGGATGAAATGCTTGCCAGACATGATCTGTCTCCAGCTCCTGGAAAAGGAAAAGAAAAAAAAATTTCCTTGGATCTAGAGTTGAGGCTCAGTGGTAGAGAGGCATGGTAAGTGCTCAGCCCTGAGTTCAAACAACAACTCTGAAACTAAGATTTTCTAAAAGAAAAAAAGAAAAAGAGAAAAAGAGAAAGAGAAAGAAAGAAGGTCAAAATATGAAGATACAGCACAGCAACATTTCCTAGGAAGCCAAAAATGATAAAGCAAATATATAAAATATATACCGTAGAAGAGAATTTACTAGATTACTGTGAATGACGCTGGCTGGGGAGTCCAACAACAGCTCTCTGCATGCCATTGAGACAGAGAAACCGGCAGCACTTGGTCCTCCAGGCAGGACCCTCAGCAGCCCCAGTGTGGGGCTAAAGACCCAGATGACTCTTGGAGAGTCACTGGTCTTCCGTCCATGAAGGACGGATGAGGACACTGTGCTCCGAGCAGCGGTGCACACCACAAAGAAGATAGCTCACCAGCGAGGCGTCAAGGAGGGCAGGCAAAACAGCGCTGCTTTTCCCTCAGCTCTGTCAGCACCGTCTGGGCAGAAGGCACTGCCCGCTCAGGAGAGGCTCTTCCCACTCAGTTCATCCTTCTAGGAAAAGGGGCCAACAGGAAGACACAGTGAGGCCCTCTCTCAAAAATAAATTTTTGACAATTTGCTAATTTAAAATTACTTTTTCTCAGGGGCTAGAAAGATGGTTCAGTGGTTAAGAGCACTGGCTGCTCTTCCAAAAGTTCATTTCCCAGCACCCACATGGCAGCTCACAACTGTCTGTAACTCCAGGGGATCCAGCACGCGTGTAGGCAAAACACCAATACACGTAAAAGTAAGTAAACCATAAAAAAAAGTCCCTGCAGTCATCTTTTTGGTTTGGTTTGGTTTGGTTTGGTTGTTTTTTAGGCACATGTTTTGCGCCTAAAATCTCAAGGCAAAGAGCTCCAAACAGCAAATAAAATATAAAGAATTTGGGGAAAGAAAATCATTGTTTTATTTGTTGATTTACTTGTCTTTCACACAAAATTTCACTATATAGCCCAAGCTTGCCTTGAATTCAGTTTGTATTTCAGGTTGGCCTCAAACCTGAGATTCTCCTGCCTCCACCTCCGAAATGTAGCAAGACTGATTTTTTTCTTTTTTTTTCTTTTTTAATTTTTTATTAATTACACTTTATTCATTTTGTATCCCCCCCATAAGCCCCTCCCTCCTCCCCTGCCGATCCCACCCTCCCTCCCCTTTCTGCATGCATGCCACTCCCCAAGTCCACTGATAGGGGAGGTTCTCCTCTTCTTTCTGATCTTAGTCTATCAGTTCTCATCAAAAGTGGCTGCATTGTGCTCTACTGTGGCCTGGTAAGGCTGCTCCCCCCTCAGGGGGAAGTGATCAACGAGCAGGCCAATCAGATTATGTCAGTGGCAGTCCCTCT